GGGGGGGGGGGGGGGGGGGGGGGGGGGGGGGGGGGGGGCGCTCCTCAGAGGGGATGGGGTGTGGCTGAGCCACTTCCGAGGAGGCGGACTCAGGGGAAAGTGGGATCTGGGGGGGCCATCTCACAGGAGGCAGGCTGAGAGGCGTGGTCTGGGGAAGCAAGGTCTGGAAGGCGCGCGCTGGGAAGGCGCGCTGCAGAGGAGGAGGCGCGCTCTGAGGAGGCGCTGGGAGGCGCTAAGCAAGCTCTGAGCACATACTGCAGAGAAGGCACGCTAGAATGGGCGGGGCATGTCTGAGAGTGGCTGCCTGCCTCTCCCAGGATCCCCCCTCCCAAAATCCCTCCCACCAGCCTCCAACAGCCAGATTCATTTCATGCAACAAGAGCAATCACCTCCAGATCCAATCCCCCTCAATACTAAGCAAACCAACAGTTTCCACAAACTGTTGCTGGACGCCAATTCGCGCCACCACTACAACTACACCGCCACTTCAATCAAGCGCAACTAGGCAAGGCAGCCCGCTCTGCCACCACCAAAAGATTCCCTTTTACACTCAAATCAGCGCTCCTTCATTCGACTGCTATAGCAGGAATGGTGTGGACAGAATGTTAAACACTAATTTTTGCCCAGGGCTCCATTTTGTCTAACAACACCATCATGCAGCGAACCGTCCCGCAGAAAAAAACAGTGGGAACCATTCCAAAAGGTGTGTTAGAGACAAAGGGTGGGGTCCCCCTCTAAGAAGACAGAGTAATCTTACTCCGCAGCTCATGTCCCTCTACAGCTGGTTTTTTTGTAGTGGAAAACAGTGCAGCTTGTGTACCTCCGCAGCTGTTATTACTTTGTAGTGCATTTTAGGTGTAAATTATTCTGCAGCTCATGTACCTCTGCAGTTCCTGTGCAATAAAGCACTGTTGTGGTTCTAATTGTATCATTTTCGTAGCACTAATTTTCTGCAGCCAAGATTTTGTGCATTTAAGGCGCAAATCAGTCTGCAGCTGGTATATGGCTGCAGTTCATACTGGTTTGTAGTACAATTGAAGCGCCCATCAGTTTGTAGCGCAATTGAGGCGCCTATCAGTCTGTAGCGCATCTGAAGCATCAGTTGTAGCGCACTGAAGCGCCCATCAGTCTGTAGCGCGTTTGAAGCGCTTATCAATTCGTAGCGCATTGAAGCGCCAATTAGTTTTAGCGCCTATCACTTTCTAGTGCATTTGAAGAGCAAATTGGTCTGTAGCTCATGTGTGTCTGCAGCTCATGTCTGTCCGCAGCTCATGTCTGTCTACAGCCTGTATCTGGACTTGGGTGCCGGAAATCAAAGCCGTGAAGGCTTGGCTTCTCCACTCTGTTTTGGGGTACAGCCAGTAAAGGCATGACAAGGTTTGCGTGGAGACATTCAGGGGCACTACTCCATCTCCCGCAGCTCCCGCTAAGAACGCGGAATGAATGTGATCTTAAAAAAAAAAAACATCCTCACCGCATACTCACCACGCGAGGACTCCTCTGCGAAGACACGAAGGACGGGGTCCCACACCTGTGCCAGGCGTGGGCTCCGCTGGGTGCTCCGCAGCCCGGAGTGGCTCCGGACGCGAGCCCGCTCAGCGGACCTTTCGCGAGGCTCAGTGGACGCTCTTCGCCGTTCTCCCCAGGTCGCCGTCAGGTTTCTTCGACACACACCAACCGAAGTTGAAGCGCGTGTACCCGGAGCGCCGACTGGGAGCCTTATATAGGCTGAACAGAGGAGGGGGGCGCCAAATCCCAGAGTGCTCCGCGGGTTAGGGGGGCGGCGGGGGGCGCGGGGGCGGAGGGGCTGGGGGATGGGGGTGGGGGCGATGGCCAAGCTACACTGGCCCGCCGCTAGAGGGAGTACGGGATTAAGGAGGGGGTGCAGGATGCTGATGCTGAACTGGCCAAGCTGGGAGGAAAGAAGAAAGGGAGGGGAGGGGAGAATCGAGGACGGCAGGCCTAGCCAGGCCAAGAATGCAATTGCCCCGGTGGTGGGAGCCGGGAGACCCTTGTGCTTGGACGGGACAGGGTCGGGGGACACGCAGGATGAGCCCCGCGACCACTGGCACCTTCTTGCTGACAGGTTAGTGGCCCGCGCGCGACGGGAGGTCCTGGGGCCAACAGGCCACCGCCTCCCCATCCCCCGCCCGGGTTTGGGGTACCCGGGCGCATTTTCCGGGTGTCAGCCCTTCTTGCTGCCTCCGTCCCCACTGCACCCCTTCTCCAGGGAACCCTGCACCCCACTTCCCGGGCCCTGTGCGTCCCTTCCGAGGCTTGACCCCTGGCCTTTTCTTTTTTTCTCCGCGCCCCCGCGGGCCCCTCCCTGCCAAGAGCGCGCAGAAATTCCATCTCCAGTTTCCATTCCCCACCCCACCCCCAGCCCCAGCCCGGGTTGCGGACCTCTCCCGATCTCTGCAGCAAAGAGCTGGGGGTCGCTGCCCATTTTTCTGGGGGGCCCCTTCCCCCGCGAATGCGGCCGGGAGGCGAGCCAGAGGAAATGGATGTCAAGCTGCCTCCCTTTCTACACAAACATCTTTTTTTCCTCTCCTTGAATCCGATCGGGAGAGAACACAAAAATGTACATTTGAAACACCGAATTCCCCCTTTTCCTAAACGCATTTCTTGGCGGCGGAAACGCCGTTTTTCTTAGGTTTTACCGAGCAGGGAAGCGGAATCCTGAACTGCTGGCCGCTAAACAGGCGTTCAGGTCAGGGTTAACCCCGGCTGGGAGCCAGGGACGCTGCAAACAGCACCGTTTGCCCCACCAAGTGCACTGTTTCGAGAAAGCAAAAACAATTAAAAACAGCTGTGGATGCCTCGAGTGTGCTTGGCGGGCTTCGGAGGCTCCCAGCGACGGCCTTTTGGTGGTGATTACGAGGTTTACGCAGAGACCTAGCTCTCCCCGCAACGTTACGTTTTTCTAAATCTTGTAGGGAGAACGAATACATTTAGTCACGGTAACTGCACGTTTCATCCTTTCAAGCGTGTTGCCGAGATTCGGCCACAAACATCTCTCTGTATTTATGCGTAGAAACATACATATTTTACGTTAGAGAAAATTACTTGCAGTGAGTTAGAAGACTCTAAAATACTGATGAGGAAGGATGCTAAAAAAAAAAAAAAGCCTCAACACGGATTTCCATTTAAGCGCCTCATAGTATTAGGCGATGAGAAAACGGACAATCTGTTGATAATCTTAGTAAAAGAAGTTTAAGTTAAAATGGAAAACCGAATTGTCCACAGCTGAGTGAGGTTCCAGAAACACGGCTGAGACACATGCGTATTTGAAGGCTAAACTTGGGCATGTTTTAGTAACATGGCTACAGATTATTTTATACTTAGAGGATAAATAAGAATTTACCCATTGTAGGTGGCAGAGTGGCAGGGATCGCACTTAAAGCGAGCCTTTCTAGGAATAAACAAAACTGTGGCACATTTACTGAGGTTTTACTTTTTATCAGAAATAAGAGGTGGACCCTCAGATAGATGAGTGAATGAAGTGCAGATTTTCAACAATGAAAGATATTTTTCTAGGAAGTTGAACACAATTAAACTTTTCAGAAGTGCCTTTTAATCTTTAGTATTCACCCTTGTCTGCAAGATAGACTAATTTCAGGATTTCTTGTGTTTCTTAGCGTACTGTTCTGGTAACTGCCAGGCTGTCAAATTCTTAGCATTTTTTTTCTTTTGTCCGGAAAAGTTACTTCACCTAGTCTTTAACTGATAGACATTCTTCGTCTAAAAAGTGAGGTTAAAAAGCAGTGTAGATGGTAGGGAAAATTGACGTTTAAAAATGTATCCCAACACTTTAAAGTTTGAACCAATTTGAATTTTTTTTTCAAAATGTTAACCAGGATTTTTTTGGTAAAAAAAGAAAAGCAGCTTTAGTATTATTTTTATCATAATAAAAGTAATTCCTATTCATTGTTCAAAATCCATGGGAAAGAAATTCCAGAAAACTGGAAAAAAATCGAGAAGAAAATCAAGATCACCTGTAACCTCTTCAGCCTGAGATAACCCCCGTAAGCATTAGAGATAACCTCCGTAAGCATTATGGAGTCCGCTTTTTCAGACTTTCTCTATGTGTAAATATGTACTTAAATAATATTTTTTTATAGAGTTACATATATATAATTTTAAAAATTAAAAATGGATCAAATCAGTTTTCGTCCATTATTTTCTTTCCAAGGAACTTTATCAAATGACATTAAATTTGCAGAGTTGTTTTAAAGGAAATAATATTAATTACTTTTTCTAATTAAAAATTTAAATGAAGATTAGTACTTAAATATTTTAAACCAGAGAACTGAAATTTCCTCTCATTTCACTATTCTAACATGCATGTAGTTATCACTTTGGTGTATTTCCTTGTGTTGTTCCTCTATATAAGAAATAATTTGTACTTTGCCTAGAAATAGAATTTTCCAAGGAAAAAAACCCGACATCAGTAGATAAGTAATTTTGATAAAACTTTTTATCTAAATATGAAGATGAAAACAAAATACATTAATAGACAAACCCTTTAGATAACATTTTTGTATTATCTAAAACCACAAAACAACATTACAAACCAACCTTCTGCCCCAAAAATTAATAGAGAAGAATTTTAAACACTTTTTGATGTTAGTATCATAAATGAATTTTGGATTTTCTCAGATATTTGTCCCAAATGTTGACTATTTCTTACACATTTTGCACGAGACTACATGTAAAACAAAAAGTGCTAATGTGCATTATTTACTTTATCAAATAACTGGGCATTGTATTTGGACATTTTAATCCATTTTTGTGAGAATTTGGTGTGGATCTATGAAGCTGTTTTTTTTTTTTTTACCACCTGTGTTGAACTTCTAGTGTAGTGAGAAAATTGCTCTTCAAAAACAAGTGGGCTTTTCACTTGTTAAATAATAAACGAGACTTTCTGTTTGGACGTTTTACCTGTTTTATGACAATTTGCTGTTTATCCGTGAAGGTGTTGATCTACCTCACTTACTGAGCTTAATTTCTCAGGTGGGAGGAAAATTGTATTTCAAAACAAAGTGGAATTTTCACTTGTTAAATAATCATTGGACTCTCTAATTGGAGATTTTATCTGTTTTAAATGCTGATTTGCCAGGGATGTGTGAACGTGCTGATTTACCACATGCGTTTGGCTTGACTTTTAAGATGGTAGGGAAAATTTATTTCTAAGCAAAGTGACAGTTGTCACATACTGACTGGACTTAGTAATTGATCATTTTCTCCATTTATTATAAGTTTGCCATAAATCTCAAAGCTGATGATTTACCTCTCATATTTAGCTTAACTTTTAGTACAGTGGACAAATTGTATTTCTAAGGAAAGTAGAATTTTCACTTGTCTCTCAGACGTTGAAAATAGCAAAGGATAGCAGCAGAGAAAACTTGGGGAGAGACAACCTCAAAGAGAGAAAGATAGCATGTATCCAGGTTCTAACACTGGTTTTCCACGGATGAAAACCATGCTCTAAACAAAATGCTGAAGCTGTGAAGAAACCCTGACATGTTAAAAAATTCTCAAGTATTCAGATTCTTTGGATTCTAATAAGTGCAGTATTTATAGATCACATTTTCTCCAGAATAACCAGCCACTTTGTTTCTTTTTCTTTTTCACTGTTTGCACTTACTCTCTCTGACCCCCTTTTCTTAAAACTTACCCTTACTTCAGTTCTAAGCCCCAAAGTGCAGATTCTGTTGCTGATCTTATTTCCTACTTTTAGTGTAAAAAAGGAGTCTAGGTGAATAGATCATAGGAGTTTGTGTGTCCATTAGAGATTCTTAAGCTGAAGCTCTGTTTTAGTCCAGAGCTTCACAGAAATATTAACATGATGGTTTTTTGTTCTTTCCACCCTTTCCAGCCGAGATAGAAACTGACAAGACAGACAGACAGACATGGACAGACAGACACAAACACACACACACACACACACACACGTGCAAAATATCCAGGTTTTTCTAAACTGCAGGCTTGACTTCTCCAGTCTGCTGTCTCCCTAATTTCCAGAAATATTAAGCCGAAAGCAGCAATGCCAAATTCAAAAAAAGAAGCTGATGTTTGTAAGTAGCAACAAGTCTTTTCAAATGAATCTTTTTCTGGTTGGAGTTTTCAGGTTGGTAGGATCTGATAGAACCTCAATGGTCTTACAGCCATTTCACGTGAACTGCTTCCAAGCGAAATTCTTTCTAAGAAAAATTCTGGTTCTTTAATTTTTTAAACAATGTACCTGTAGTAAAGACAGTATTAAATTAAAAATAATCTCCATCGTCTGACACTAGAACAAACATTTCCATTGCTGCTCCTTCCCTTCTATTCTTTGTTCCGTGTGGATATATATTTTTACATGACTATAATTTTAATATGTGTAGGTTTTTTACACTTTGTTTTGAAAGATAAGTGAATCTTGTTTTCAGCCAAGCATTTGTCAAGGCTTCAGGATGCTCTTGTGTGTGAGGTGATGTGGAGACTAGCAGGATTGCTTTGTGAGCGTGAGGCAGGCTGAACCAGCACCCGCCAGGTGTGTGGGGTCCTGGGTTTGGGTCCGGGAGTGGTCCCTGGTCAAGGATCATGAGCCTTTGCCCTGGGTCTTCTCTTCTTCAACATTTTTATGAATGACTTCCATGAAGATCTAGGATGCTTGCTTTAAAATCCATAGAAGCCTTGAAAAGGGATAACTGTTACAAAGATAACAGGATTTAGAGTTTACATGGTTTAAATAGCTGCAGTGCTATGCAAAAAGGTATTTTATAGCAGTAAATGCATCATAATTCATTAGTGTGTAAGGAAGGAGGTGACTTTATATAGTGGCAATTTTTGAGGAAAAAGAAAGTTGATATCAATCAGTGGTATGATGTGGCTGCAAAAAAAATCAAATTTAGATTCTGGTGATATAATGTCCATATGTCACAAAAATTAATAGTACCCTGCTCTAATTAACCACATCTGTAGTATTGTGTCCCTTTCTGGCTGTCACATTTAACGAGAGATGTTGACAAATTAGACAACTTCCAGAACAGTCCATCGGGATGGTAAGGGGTCTGGCAATCCCGTCATAGGAGGTATCTTCAA